CTTTCCCCACTCTTGTTAGTATTGTTATGAGGGCTCTAATCAAGAAATCTCTGGCCTCTTGGTTTCAGCCCTATTTATCCAGTGACTGTGCCTCAGGATCTCTTAGACTCATCACAACTGTTTCTTCACATGACATTTGGACTCTGATTAGCCAACGTTCCTTTTTTATGTTGGTAATATAATCTTGCATAACGTCCCCAAGGCATATACATCATTTCACCAGCTCGATCACTAAGTCATCTCTTCTCACTCTCCATAAGATCATTATTAAGCAAATAAGGACAGGGGGAAAATTATTATTTTACATATTTTTTGTGATAAGTTACAATTAGAATTGGGCAGAAACAGTTTTCCCATCCCCAGGGACTTTGGAAATTTCAACAATGTTTCCAGAACAAAACCCAATATCTACTGAAATTTTTCCCAAAAACAGAGTGTCCAGAATAACCAACAGCAGTGTGGTCAGGACACTCTCTGAGGATGTGATGGATCTAGTTCAAGTCCTCTTTTGAATCAGAGAGTACTCTAGACATCAGGCAATTGGTTATCCTAGGAGACAGCCTTCTCTCTCTAGTCAGAAATTCAATACCCTAGCTGAGAAATCTTTCCCAATGAAATCTTTATCACAAACAGTACATTCGTGTAAAATATTTTGGTTTTGATGAATTAGCATTTTCTGTTGAAAAAAATCATAAAAAACTCTCAACCAGTCTTAATCATGTCATCCAGAGCTATGCTTGTCACTTGTGATAGGACAGACAAGTTAAATAGTACTGTTTCTGTTCCATAATTTCATAAGCACACAAGCACTTGCAATATGTGTATTTTTGCCTGACCCTTTTACATCTGATTTCTTCAAAAATTCATTTGGAAATTTGCCTCCAGCAAATGGCAAAGTTGGATTGCATGAATGGTCAGAGACACCCAAAAGGAGAGTGGATACAGTCACACCACATTCACCTGAATAGTCAATAAGCAGAGGTTTTAGAACTTCTGGCCCACAGTTAGCTCTTTTATTATGGTAATACTTATGTGCCTCCCTGAGATCGACACCCAAGTGTGCTAAGCACTTTAGAAATGTACAGTGAGAGCCCAAACAAAGTCCTAAGAAGCTTAGAGCCCGAACAGAGAAAGCATTTTATCCTCATGTGCAGACAGAAGCTGTGGCATAAAGATTAAGTAATTTGCCCAAGGTTACAAAGAAAATCTGTGCTCAAGCAAGGAAATAAACCCTGAGTGTCTGAATTCTAATCCAATGCCTTCATCACAAGGACATCCTTCCCCTCAGCTGCCCTCCAGGCCTGGACACAGTCTGAGGAGTAATGAACCATTTTTTTCAAAAGAACAAAAGCCTGCTGCCATTAAGGTCAAGTAATATATTTATCTGTTTCCCTACTGTCACTTTTTCCAGGAAACAGTTCTTGCCACAGAATACTGCACAATCTCAAAGACGAGAGACATTGCAGTGGCTAGGCCCAGGTGCAATAGGTAGGCACTTCATAGGTTTCCCCTCTTTAATTCAGTGAATACACTTGACTTTAAGTTATAGCTTGTGCTCTAGCTCGCTGCTCCAGCTCAGGAGGGAGTTAAGGCACATCTGCTATTCCAGTTGTGGGACCCTTCCTAATGTCCCCAGGCCGATTGGCATGCCTCCATCCACATTGGCAGCACTACTTAATCCTGGGTACCTAACTGCCTGTGATAATTACTCTTCCATCTCCACTCCACATCTGAACATCTCCATCCCAAATGCTGTTCCTCATTCTCATCCCCTGTACTAGAAGCTCACCAGGCTCCATGCTGTGGTGGGGTTGATCTGTGCAGTGAACTGAAATCAAATCTGTGCAGGAAGCAAAGCACTGAGTAACCTTTCATCACTATCACCGATGCTCAGGTACCTGAGTTCCTTTGACAAGTGTCCTTCAGAAGCTTCTGTTCTTGCAAGGTGGAAAAAGAAGTGTTTGCTTTCCTCCAGGGTTGTGCTTTTTGACGTCTTGGAAACTGCTTTAGGCTGGAGCACAAGTATGAACTGTTGAGCTGCCAGGCTTACCTCAGTGTGTCAGAAATGAGACTGGTATGTGGGTGTGGATGGTGCTGAGAGTAAAAAGTGATCAAAGATAAATGAGGGTTTGTAATTAGTTTCATTTGGGATGGGCTGCTGGAGAGCTCTCTCTGCTTAGCCATCCAAAAAGGAAGACAGGCTGTCCTACTTTCTTAGGAAAACAATTGTTAGGTGTTAAGTGAGTTTTCAGCTGCAGGGGAGAAGTTCAGTCACTAGAGCAGGAGATTTGCTCAACTGGAGGAATAGCAGGTGTGAGGGAGCATGACCAGAGGGCAGTGTCACTGCAGGGAGTTAAATCTACATTTAGGGAGAAGCAACATGACTTCTGTTTCCAAACTGAATCCAACCCTGGATGGAAAAACTACAGAGCAGGAATTAGGGGAAGCAATTCTGGGAGTGATGGAGGTGGCAGAGCATTTCTGAGGAGGTGAAATTTGAAAAGCATGGGAGGGGGCATGGAAAAGACCCTCACTGGAAGTGCTCCTCAGCCTGCAAGCTGATGGAGCTGTCAAAACTGATAGCTGTCTAACAACCACACCACTTGTGCCATGGTGGCAAAGCCACACCAGATGTCAGCTTATCACAGTGGTATAACTGCAATTGATTGTAGCCTCCCTGACAGGACCATTGGTGAGTGTGAACAGAAGGCACATCTCAGCTGACTGAAGGACGCAATAAAGTGACTGAACTATCCATTGTACATGAGGCCTAAGTTGGTGCCAAATATCCTTGGACCAGACCACAATTCTGCCTTTCATGTGTATGCACAAAAGGGATCTCTTCCTGGTTTCTGCAGAATGGCCATCACTTTCATATACCTCATGGCTGCTGGGAAGGGCTGTGCATTGTCCACCATCTGCAGGCTCTAGCACCCTAGTTCAAATCTATGCTCTAGGTCAACGGTTCTGAACCTTTCAGTAGACGTACCCCTTTGTCTCAGAGTGAGACTTCACGTACCCCCTTTCAATGGGAAATTAATTTTTTAGACCCTTCAACCTGTGTTAGACAATGTATGAAATATCTCTCATGTATCCCCTGATGAGGCTTCATGTACCCCTGGTTCAGAACTGCTGCTCTAAGTGATCCCCACCTCACTTCTAGGATACGGTCTTCCTTATCACGCTGCAGAAGGAGCTAAGAGATGTTCCAGATTCACCAATATTAATTGCCAGCTCCCCGGTCCAAGAGGTAAATGACCCTGTGA